TCATCCATAATGAGCCAAATCATGTATTTAATTCACTTATTAAAAAACGTTTGAACATTTATATAAATAGTATGAGCTATAAGAATGAACTGTGATTAATTGAAATATTCTAAGTGTGATCCTATAAGGGTTACTAGACTTGGCTTTAGGGTTTCGGCTAGAATCAGTTTGAGGAATTCAATTTTGACTGATGTCTATTTTTGACTTTAATGTCGACTAGTGTGAGCTATACTTCTTAGCATGATAATCATGTCTTTTTTTCAATTTTTCTTAAAAAGTCATATTTACAGTTACAAATTTTTATTGATATCTTTTGATATTTCTAGCCTAAAAACATGCAGGTTTTATTTTTTATAGCTCTGTGCTCACAATACATCTCTGATTTTCTGCCGAGAACTTTTTCTGAATTGTCTATATTATATAAATTTTACACTACTTTTTTTTTATCTAGAATTTTTCATAGAAATTATTTCTACATTTTTTTGATAATTTTAAAATCTTGATATTCACTATGATCATGAACATAGATTTTGATGCAATGTTATAAATTGAAAAATTAAATTATTATTATTTTAGATCAAAGATATATCGCAGATTTTAAATTATTTTATCAATCAATTTCTACAATCATCAATTGATGTGATGTGACTGCGTTATTGTTACCAAAAAAAATTAAACACACACACACACTTTTAAGTGCTGTGTTTTTGTGCACAGCACTTAAAATACATTATTCATTATTATAGTCCACACAACAGCTCAAATTTTATAGAAAAAAAACTTTTGAATATCATTGAGAGATTTTTTGTGTTCTCTTATATACTAAGCAATTCCACTAACTGACATCAAACTAACCTAAATTGTTCAAGCTCTAAATTGTTTGATAAAAAAATTTCTCCCAATCAATGTCTAGATAATCATAAACCATATAATTACTTTAAAGAATTGAATTTTTAATGAATTGGAAATTGAAATGCTAAAAGCTTGAAAATATCTACCAGAACATCTATCTTTTTTGAAATTTGTCATGTTAAAACTATCAAACAAATATTAAATGTATGTACCTTGACTGAACCATAATTCTTTTTTTCATTTTTTATGAACGTACATTGCCAATATTTGATTTATTGATTTTCTTTCTTTGATTTATCCAAATCTTTGATGTTCAATGCACACTTTGATTAATTTTTGTATCTATTTGTTTGAAATGATTTTTTGTCAAAATAAAAATGTTATTCTTGTAAAAGACTAAAATAATAAGATTAAATTTATGCAACTATTTTATATATGCACATAGATCAAACACACATTGAATTAAAATCTATGTGCTTTTATAGATTTATTAAATCTTGTTTTTCACTAAGAAAAATGTTTGTTTCAATGTACGTAATGATTCTAACAATCTAAAGATCAACTTCTCTTGAAAAAAAATTTCAGAGTCAAATAGTTATTTTATGTTTTATATTTTTCCTCCAAAGATACATGAAAATATGTTGTAGCTATAGTCATTTGATTTATAAGCATATTAAATATTGCAAGAAATGCACATATCAATCAAATTATAGCCTAAAAAAATATACTATAAATTAATTGATGTGTGCATTGTGTAAAAACTGTTTACAAAAACATGATTTATGGAAAAAAATAATTCTTATCTTCTGTAATTTTTTGTTATTTATTCATCCATTTACTATCAAAGAAAGATTAGTTTCTTGGAAGCTCCACTAATGATTTGAAGTATTCTAATTAATCAACAATTGCATATCACGCTCCATAGTAATATTTCATTTAAGCTTAATGACAAAAGCTTGAGTATTTCTATTAAAACAAGATTATTATTTTATCAAAATCAATGTATTGTCATCATTGTACTTAATCTCAATCTCATGATGTTCAAGAATAAATCAATCAATCCATATTCCATACCTCAAAGTAGCTCTACTAATCCAATTTGATGTTAAACTAGTAATTTTGTTGTTGATTTTCATCATTTAATGTTATGATTTGAGTCTTTCCAACAATAAGTAGCTTTTTAAATTCTTGCACTTCTTGTGCCACATTATTAAATTCGTAACGATCAATCTTTCTTGTAACAATATTTGTGCGTAAAAGAATATGTATGTCAATACAAGACATGTTGTGCTTTAAATATAATATATCATGAAATTATTAAACTAAATTCCTGTAAATTAATATTGATTTAACAATAATTTAAAGATACTGTAGACATTCATCATTCTGAATTTTTTTTAAAGGTGTTTATTTTCATTTTACACATAATCCTTTTCTTTATGTTTCAAAATTATCTTATGCAAAAATCATTATCTTTAGTTAATTCAAACAAATCTGGAACAAAATATTCCAGATTTGAATAAATTATTGGCTTCACACAGAACATACATACGACTCTTCAAAGAAAGAGAATTACAGTATTGATATGTCTGCAAGATTTTTCTTATGATTGATCTGCTTATTACCAAATAATTATATTGAAAAGACAGATAGAGGTACATATATTATAAATATGTTTTTTGGAAATGTCACTTTGCAACTTTTACGTTTCATTCATGAATATAGCAAAAAATAAGTTTGTGACATCTTACTTGACACTATTGTTTTACGTATAACACAAGATCCATTTCTTTCACATTTTATTGAATACGACACATTACACAAATGCCAAAAGATACAAAAAGTATCTGCATTTTATTATATATATATATATATATATATAGATTTATATCTAAATTTAGGGTTTGGGGCTAACATCTTGCAAAATAACTATGATTTTCATTTTTTTATGTCGGAAATAACATCAATGGCCAATATGCACTTTAACCGCATTTTGACACATTGAAAGTTCATAATATGCTCAACTATATGTTTCAGTGGATAATACTATAATATTTCATGAGGATTTAGTTGTATAATTCTAAGTTGCACATCACATTACAATCAAATTTTTATACTCTTCTAAGTTGATTACAATGATGAGAAAGGGGAAAAAAATTTGTGTGAAAAGAAAGAGATTTTTTTTGTCAATTAAATGTGACAACATCAATGAGAGTAAAGATGAACATATATGTGACTATTCTCGTAACTATTGTAAGGAGAATAGCAAGTTTGATCACTTTGTTTTCGAGGAAAGTTCACATTCCCGTGAATTCTCCAATTGACAATCAGTCTTAAAGTTGTAATGTAAAGTTGAGATGAACGTGACCTTTACCCTGAAATTGAATTTCGTTCCTTTAATTTCTACAATTTTTGTGTTAGTTTTTTTAGCAAAAATAGATGTATAGAGTATTATAGGTCAACATCGCAATTTGCATTAAATAATGAACTAGTATTGAGTCAGACTGCCACCGAAGAAATCACATCGATCCCAACATCTGGCAAATCTGAATGAAATCCTTGGCGTGCAGAAAATGCTGAAAAATGAGGAGAGAGCCTATCTAACGTTTTAGCAGAAATTGCATTAGTAAATATGATTCCCCAAAAAATATAAATATAAATATAGATATATAGATATAAATATAAATATATATATATATAGGGAGAGAGTCCTTATGACAGATATAACTAAGCATAGATCTTTCTTTGTGATTTAATAATAATTATTAGCTGGCTTAACAATTTTTATTAAGCGATTGATCAATGTAGGAGCGTAAGAAGATGAGCAGACTAGCGCCACTGAGAACTATTAAAGAACAAAGTATGCTATCTTTCTACTCATCTTCCATATATTTATAAAGTCAGAATGGAACATGAATAGCATTTGTTTCCTACTGAAATTGAGTACAAATTTTGGGTTAAAAGAAAATCATATCTACATCTTATCCACTACGCTTCAAACAATTCCGGTTTGTGTGAATGCTTAAGTTAATATAAACACATTAGAGAGATAGGAATCTATAGGAAGATCTGCATTAACGTATTCAAAGCAGCATACACGAAGGCATGTGAAAGCTGGAGAAAATGGAAGACTTTGTATGACGCATTATTAGAGCATCCGTGCTAGATTTTTTATCCACGAGTTTTTTACTCAACTTGGAACCATTGAACTAATGTTGAATGTAATCATGCTACAGCATATTAAAAACAGCTACTCTAGCCGAGTAGCCGTGCTCGTCAGAAAGTTTCACCTTTTTTCACATCAATCATCACATTGGCCTTGTTCAAACTCCACATAGAAGATGTAACTTGGTGAGAGTATTAAAGGGCTAGTTTAAGTGAAGTTTGGGTTCCAAGTTAAAAAAAAAATTCATCACTGTTGAAGCTCTCACGAAACCCACTCTGTTCAAGGCAGTTTAGCATGATACTGCAATTTCCACACTGCATATTATGTATGCAGTCTAATGAGCATCGCAGTGTTGGAGTTCACGATAAGTGCCAATGCCATACAAGCCCGAAAGTCACACCCAAGTACTAACACTTCGGGTTCTTTGTATGACAAGAAAGATCTTGCCGATGGGCCGTGGCAACTCTCGGTGTTCTGTTTCACGTTCTCATTATGTACTACATGGTTACTTTGTTATAAAACACAAGTGTCCAACCATGTAATGAACCCCACTGCGCTACTCATAGAGTCATGACAAGCACATTCGCAGTCCGGCAGCGGAACGATAACGTAGGGCCTTACAGAAACAGGAAATATTTGCTCTGGTGCCGGGTCTGTGGAGATTGTGCGAGAACCGTCGATGCCATGGTCAGGAAAGGACTGAACACGTGTTATACAGCAACGGGCGAAAAAAAAGCGGAAGAAAACGTTAGAACATTCCGTGCCCGGGTTGCGGCGTTATGGATGCATGTCATGAACGATGGGCGCGTGAGGATCCATCGGCATGGACACACATCCACGGCGCGCGATGCTCTCAGAGAGCATCTTCGGCAGGATCGGCACAGTGGACCGTCGATCCTGGTGCATGGGGTGCTCACATTTCGTAAAGCATAAAGAACAGACCAGTCAGCAAAGTGGGTGTGCTCATTGTTCTTGCCACCGTGGTGGGCCCCATGAAGACCAAAGGCTGGAACAGGTGGCGCTCTTCGATAGCCGCCAGCCCTACCGATCGTGTTCGAAAGGAGTGGCCCCAGGGGCAATTCAGTGATTGCGGTGCGGGCGAAGAAGAAGAGGAATCATCGAGTGAAGACGCGAGCAAGAGAGTGTACTTGGAGCCCATGCGAATCCGGCTCGATCGAGGGGGATATGGGAGTGAGTGAGTAAAGAAAGCTTAAATAGTACAAGAAAGTTGTTGTTTACGAAGGGAATCGTATCAAGATGAAAATCTTTTCTGCGGGGCACTCGATGGCATGCTCAGCAAAAAGCTGCAGGGCGGAAATTGAAAAGAAAAGAAGACGGAAGAAGGAATGCCACAGCGGTAGCAGTGATGGATGCGTGGATCGATGGCTGCTGTTGGACAGGAAACATCTCATTGATTTGTGTGACGGTGTGAGTAGAATCAATATGAATGTCTCTGTGAATTCCAATCGGTCAGAGCATTGGCAAATGAGATTGGACAGTTATTGTACCTTTATTTCTCGGGAAAGCCAAATTTGCTGACAGCAAAACTGTCACCGGAAGTAGTGAGCACAGTACCGTAGGCTCTCTGTCTGAGGTGACTCGGGTTTTGAATTTCACCCGTTCCCTTGGATGATAGGTTGCTGGAACAGTGGTTAGGGACAATGAGTTCTGTGAGGAGTGAAAACGTGAAGAGGGGAATTTTTCTTTGCTTATCTTTTAACTCCGTTTGGCGTGATCGATATATTTGCCTTGTCATCCAGCTTCCCTCTCTCCAGTAGCACGGCAGGGCAGGTTGTGTTGATCATCTTGATTTTCTAGGACGGAATAAGTTTCTCTCTTTTTCCTCATCTTTATCGTTTTTCAGCACCGCCCCATCTTCTTCTGTTATCAGTACGGAACAGAGTATCATGTATTTCTCTCCTTTTCCACGTTTGCCTTTCACCAGTGCCGTCCCACCTTCTCCTTCCATCAGCATCTGCATCGCCCTCAACTCTGATGTCTACAAAGTTTCACGAGTTGTTCTTCCGTTTCTTACTTCTGATACTCTTGCGTTGGTTTTTCAAGCTTTACAAGCCTAACTTGCCTTTTAGTTAACCCGACATTGTTTGATGGATGTCCATTTATGTGCATAACATATTATGCTAGAACTCGAAGAGTACTAAGGCTATTAATAAAAGAGGATGGGAAGACCACATCATCAATTTTTACATGGATGAATCCAAAACATGTACGATGTGTCTAGCACCAATAGCCTTAGAATGGAAAATATGTCGTAAAAAATAAAATATTCCTATTGTACAAGCAAAACGTTCTATATACAATACAGCATATGAAATGTCAGGGAGGGGCTAGCTATCATCACTAACAGTTCACTAACAATAGTTTTTTAAGATTCACGGTAAAGATTATTACTTTTGAATTTTAAAAAATACAATGAAATTTTTTTTTTACAGCAGATCGCATATAGAATTGAATAAATTATGTGTCGCTTAATATGGTAGATTCTAGATGTGATGTCCATGGATTATATTTTTGAGAAGCTAGATCAGCAAAGACGAGAGATCTTGAAAGTTATTATACTTTGAGATATTTCTTGTTGTTTTAATGGGTTCACATCATGAGGATGAGAATTAACTTCTCTACGTATAATTCATCCTCGTCAGATGCATTTTATATGTGTGTAAGACGAAATGCTCAAACCCACATCCATGATCTTTTTATGAATGCTATAGATCATGCTAGAACCTAAAATTCAGGAGAAACTCTTGAAGGAGGCTACGCCCTACAGTTTGATACCTTGATTTTGCAACCAGCGATAATCGGGTATTCAGATATCTATAAAAATCTACGAGCTCATAATCTATCATGATCAGATTTTTTACCATATTTATAGTCAAAATAATCTATCATGAAGCATAAAAAACTAATGATATATGTTAAGAAACTATGTGTAAAAAGAACATGGTTAAATGATATTTTCAACATTCATTGTAAGTACATATTTTGAATTTTCAATATCAATAATATCATCCCACTATCTGATAATGTGCAGACTTCAAATTGACGCTGACAAAAATAATCCTGAAATTTTAGTGTAAACAAGTGTAAAAAATTAGGCCAGGTCATGAAACGAATAGCAAGATGCATTTTTTATGATATTTTAAAAATACTATTGAAAAAATAATGATGATGAAAGAACACCATACAGATAGAAAGGTAAAAAAAATTAATGTTTCAAGATTGTGTTTCATCACAAAAATGAAGTTATTCTACTAATGCAACTCCTAATCAGTTCACAAAAAATTGATTTCAGCAAAGATACAATTACATGAATATGTTTTGTGAAGTTTTCAACACGTATCAATTTCCTTATATATATTTTCAAATAGAATAGGTAGCATCTCATATTTTAGTATTGAATACATGTATATGGCTATGTACGGAACATGAAAGATATTTCATCTATGTCATAACAATGATATTCAATAACTATTCAGTAATTCAATAACAAGACTTATGAGTGAAATCAAAAGGTATATATAAAGATATGATTTTCTCCATAAAACTAGCCATGGATAAAGATGTAGATTTGATATCTCCAATACTTGACTCTGATATCTTAACAACCATAATCAGGCTAAGGAGATAATTACAAGTGGTTATATAAATGATCAAATTACAATACATTTATAAGTTTTTTTTTACATGTGTCTTGATGCCATGCTTTGACACTAAAAGTATATTTATTATTTAATATTATTTATATTATCCATATTTTATCATATAGATTTTTTCTAATTACTAATAAAAAATCAATTTAATGTGTCAATAAGTCAGCAATAAAAGATATTCTGTTTTATTATGTACTTCACAAGAAGTGCTGATAAAAAAAATGGCTATATTCATAGGTTTTCGTTAGAAATTAACTAAAGGACTTTTTACCTTAGTTTGATTTAAATCCTAGCTAGGGTTAGGGTTCTGTTGTTCCCTTAAAAGAGAGCTAGTAAAAGCTCTGAATGATACTTTTAGGTTTTCACCACTTTTTTGTGATTTTCATGTCCGTATCCCGCAGTGATGAACTACATTCTTCAGTGTTGGCGTGTATGTGCTTGTGATTGCGTTTTTTCTTGTGATTCTGCCATACAGATTAAAGAAAATCATAAAGTACAACTTGAATGAGAGTTACAACAATTTCACAATGAAAGAACCATCTAAAGCGATACAAAAATTAGACTAAATCTAAATTTATTTATAAGTGAAAAATGTTGATTGTATTTAGTTACTTCTGCTCACATCTCACGCCTGTTTTAAATTTAATTCAAATTTAATGTTTAGTGTTTGTAGATGTTTTTATCTCTTGCAAAGGAGATAAAGAGAAAGAGGACACACAGTTCATGAACTGTCACATGTATCTTTTGCTTATTTAAGATAGCAATAGAAGGTTTGATACCTCAAAGAGAAATATATATATATATATATAGCTTGCCTTATCACAACGTCATGGCAGCCCACTTCACCTGAGTCATACGCAAAGTCTAATCTCTATTAGATTTTGATCTTCATACTTTTTCAAGCAAGTCAAGATGCTTCATGTGCTTTCAATATGCTATTTCATGGAGCTTCAAGATGGGAATATGGATATATTTACCTAACCCTATAGATACTTCCGATATGAAAACTCATACTCATATGAGTTACAAGTTCATTAATAAGGGTCTATAGAATTTCCAACGGCGTTCATCAAAAGCACCAATAAACCCAAAATTAAGAATCTAAAATAACCTTCTATTCAATCTTCATGTGTGGCAAAGTTAACACATCCGAAGAACTATCTCCAGACTCCTAAAATACTCTCTTGTCTCCTTTATTTCGCTCCCGTCATCAATATTGGCTCATATATTACGCCCTGAATTATGAGCAATATTCAAGAACTCAGCATCTCATGCTCATTACTTAATAGACTGATCTTGCGTTATGTGAGTGTCGGCACACATTTCGCAAAATTAGGCAATCGATTTCATCACGAAGTTGGATCTACATCTTTGTTACGTACGCTCATCGGCAGAGAAATACATGTTCTACAAAGAACTGCAATGGTTGATTTTTTTGTTGGAAAAGCTTGAGAGCAACCTTTTTGTCTGAAAATCGAATAGATCTGTCTAAAACCTTCCGTCTCTCTTTTAGAAGATTAACTCTACACTCTTGTCTATCGCTGGACTTTGTCCGATATATGATTCGAAAGTTGATTTCAACTCCTACAAAGCATATAAAGTCTTCAACCGGCACTTTTTGAAGTTTCCTTGAGCGCGTGGCCTCGACAACCAAAAAGAGATCGAGCATGGAGCATAGGTTTTAAATTGACTCCGATCCCCTTCCCGGCAGTTCGAACATGCTGTAGTAGCTGAACGAGGATCCAGTGCTTTATCAGCTCTGTCCGCCATTATCACCTTCCGCTGTCAGACGAGCAAAACCAGACTTAGTAACAAATTAAGACGTAAGAAAGTAAAATAACAAGAGGGATGGGGACACCCCATCTCAAGTGGTACACAGATAACCCCAAAAGACTTAGCAACAGAAGGTTCATATCTTCCTTCCATTCTTGTAACGTTCTCCTAGATTCGTGAGAACTTTAGAGGGGACCCAGAGATTGTAGGTACAGAACAAAAGAGAAAAGAGTAACGGATTTATATTTATAGACGGTTGGATTTTTCCATAAAATAGTGTAAATAAAACCTGCAAGCTATCGTTTTCTCTTGCCGGTTGTCTGAAGACCGATGTCGGATGTTCAAGTCGACGGTTTCTTATTTTTTTCAACAACCTGCTGGCATCATCCGAACATTTGTTCAATGTGCTTTCCACTTGCGGCTGATATTCCATAGAGGTATCTCTTGTTTCTATTTCTTACTAGCCAAATTATAGTTACCTCCCCAACCGATAGTGACTGGTTTGTTCCGAATGTATGCAGGTTCATCGTGCACCGGTGCAATTCTCACAAATCTAGCTTTTGTCTTTCCATCTCTAGGAGCTAGGAAGATATTCCCCAAGCGCGAGGCAGTACTGTACATGTGGATTTGAGTTGAAAATCCCTTTTTATTCCACAATCCCATGTGCAGAGGAACTTTTCTTGCAAACGATAGAAACTCAACTTCGTTGTAGTTTCTGTGAAGATAAGATTTTTCTCTCCCTGCAATATAACAAAAGAGCACTGTCGTCATACTCTAATTGAGTACCTAGAGTACAGTATAATGCAATGAAAGCAGGACTAGATCGAGAGTACACGAGAAGAAGAACGTACTCTGCTGAGGTCTGCTAAGGTCTGGATCTAAGTTAGACACAGAAGCGTACTGACACCGGCTCCGGATTAAACATAAGTGCTCTGAGGGGAAGCTGCATTTCAGAACTCGGTCATTGGTGGACCTTCTGCAAGGGACAAAACTGACGGGAGCTGAAGGTAACGCAGGGCAGCTCGTACGAACTGTACAATAGTGATAAGTGCAAGTGCTGTAATTGTTGATAAAGGCCCGATACTGTATGGTTACTATTCTAGGCGCAAGTTGCAGGAATACTTCCAGAGAATTATAATTGAAGTGGATATTTAAATGAATGGGGTTCAAACGCCGACAGCATCAGTGGTAATATCGGAGAATTGGCGGGACTCACAACGACTAGCCACAGGGCTTTCTTCTCATCAAGATCCATCCATTCACCGAACATTGTTCTTTCTTTCAACATTCTCTGCATGCATGCGCTATTGCTTCTTGTTCTTGTCCGGGCTTGGCTGCGATTCGTGAGTTAATGCGCTGCTTCTGCTGCTCGGTGTCTCGCCCAACGGCTGGATTATCTTGTGGGTTTAGAGACGACCCTCTCACGTACGCCGATGTGAGTGGTCTGGCCTGTACGATAACACATGCGACGGCTTCTCAGAGATCTGGTCTGTTTTGATCTGGTCCAGGACCGACCACAGCGATTGCTGCGGTCAAATCTCAGAGCTGGGCGAGGAGTCTCGAGTACCCGCGGTATTGGCTACTCATTATCGGCCAAACTGAATCACTCGGTGATGATGACAACTGCCAAGTAATGGGATTACTCAAGCTAAATAAGCACGTTCTGCCGTGTAAAAATTCCAACCCAGATGGTCTGATCACAAATTCATGTTCCGAGGGAGAGAGCCCTGGAGGCACCGTGTGAGGTTAACATTATCTTGTAATCTCCGACACAGGTGGAACGGAAGAGTCTCCGCCAGATGCTGATGGTAAAGAATAACCTCAATCTCTGATGGTACTGGCTCAGTGGCACCTTTTGAGGTTAAAATTATCTTGTAATCTCCGACACAGAAGTGGAAGGAAAGAGTCTCCGCCGGATGCTGATGGTAAAGAATAACCTCAATCTCTGATGGTACCGGCTCAGTGGCACCTTTTGAGGTTGGATTTATCTTGTAATCTCCGACACAGAAGTGGAAGGAAAGAGTCTCCGCCGGATGCTGATGGTAAAGAATAATCTCAAATCTCTGATTGTACCTGCTGCCCCATGTACCGCTTACTGTGGCAGCTTTCTTGAACCTTTAGCATTAATTCGGAGGACATAGCGGTGTGGACTCAATAGTAACAAGCTTGAATATCAACACTGGCAGCCAATCTATGCCTCATCGAGTAATGCAATTTGCAAGCACTCGAGTGCAAGAAGCACGCAGGAGGTGATGGCACGTCAGTTCCTCTGTCTGCCTGTCGGCGCGTCCAACACTCGTTAAACCTTGGTCAGTCCGCAACGGCGGGGTGCATACCATCCTGATGCAGCCGTGAATCCAGTAAAAACTTGGTTCCACATACAGTAGTGAGGCTAGTTGTCTAGGGAGACCATCAATTTCGCTTCACAGACTTGTCGAGGAGAGCTTTCCTGATTTCGGCATCAGTTTATAGATACTTCGATTCTGTGATAAATAGTCTGTGAACAGTGTGAGGGTTTAAGAGCTTCCTTTCCGCCTGCGTTCAGCTTCCTTGACTTATCAAAGAGTCTGCTGGAGAATCTATAATGTGGTTGCTTTCGAGCGTCGTTATCAGGAGCCTAGTTGCTTTCTCCAAGACGAAAAAGAAGAAGAAGAATGGAATCTCCTCGAATGCTGGAGCCGGTCACCACTCAACAATTCTGATTTCTCCGCTGAGTAAATTCCTGAACTCCTAGATAGATATGCATGGGAACGAAGATGAAGAACTATGGTGTGCCAGCCTTGCTCGTCTGGTGTTGCTTGCATTGCCACAAGGCGAGCTTTCCGAATTGATATGCTTCATCTGTCAAATATCAACGCCGGCAAGGCGAGACTCGGTCTGGTCCTGGATTCGCCTAGTGCAAGAATGGGCGTAGAGATCTAGACAGTCAAACGAAATTGTGAGTCACATGGGATGACCGGGCATGCAGAGATGATTCCTCTCAGCAGTACTCAAATGAAGCTGTATTTCAGATCGTGTCAGGAAACATTTCTGATTGGCCGAGAAAGACGTCTAAGCTTCGACATACGATATGCATTGGTGCGAAGTTGTGTTCATCGAAAGCGTTATTAACTCTTAAGCTGGTAATCAAGATTTGTTCTATCTTTCGTGGAGAAGAGAGGTTCGTCGCTCTAGTATAGGTCCTATGAACTGCTGAGGTCTGTGAGAAAGTTCTAGCCAGGGGCACCTAAGGATAAACAGCGAGATGGTGTAGAGCTCGATGATTGGAGTGTGCTCAATCATATTGTCCTTCAGCTCGCACATCTTGAGCTCTGAATGACTACCCTTCGAACGTTCTTTCGTCTGCCTCGCTGGTCGACCCAACCAACATTAGAAAAGCCAAATTGTTTTGGGTACATCGTCGGATGCGCTTCTGGAGTGAACTAGAAGACAAAACTGTTCACGACTGACGTGATAGCGAACGGAGTTGTCACAAATAGTTCAGATTTTACAGCCCTTCTGATCCGGCAAAGACTCGCAAGGGTGGGCAATGTTAGACACGCCCGCTGTTTGCCTGCACATGGTATGGAGCGCGTGAGCGGAAATTCAAATCCCGTATTGTCCGGGCCGAGCTTCTCAACGCAATCAGTGGCCAAGTTGAGAATTTTGCGGGATTCCAAGACGCCTGCAAAATTCATGCAGCAACATCAATAATAGATGGAGACAGATTCCACTTGGGAAGAGGAGTTCAAATTAGGCTCGTATCACGCATGCAATATGAATGGCTGGATACTTACAGGAGGTAGTAGACGTACAGCTTCTCTGAAACGAAATTGCGCAGAGTTCTTAACACAGGTCTATTGGCTGAATTGATTGAACGAATCAACTGAAGTCTGAGTGCGACGTAACATTGTTACTGATTTCGCACTCTTTAAATTTGAACCACCCGAAGACCTTGAAGTCGTTGTGCAAGTAAATCTCAGTTGTGTGGCTATACATCTGTGAAAGTTATCGCATTTCACTTCTGTCACGCTGTTTGTCTGACAAGCCATCAATGTCAGTCCATCTGATTGTTGTTTCAAAGTTTACTCGATACCAACAAAATCTGAGGAATGAAGAAGACTCATGTCTTTACCCAGGAAACGTGATCCGTCTGAGTATAACCGAACGATTGTCCTAGTCTTGAGATCTACTGCCTTCATTTGCAATGGAATTTTTTTTTGCTTAGTCTTGGTGTCATTGTTCTTGTAGGACAGAAAATGTAGATTCGATTGACGAGGAAGATATATGAAATGGGCCATATTTTGTTGTGACATCTGGTGAATGTTTGTTGGCAGGCCGTAGCCTGATTGCATTTCCCGTGTAGAGAGTTTCTGCTCATGTTTCTCATGGCAAAGACCGACGAGTATCGGGCTTTGAAGAAAGGGACTTGCGGTTCTTTATTCTGCTGTTTGTATCAAGCACAACTCGAAGAAAATGACTGGTGAGTTTTTAATTCATGTCTGATTATTGTAAGTGAGAAGACATCAAGTTTAATAGATCTGCATTTACTAACCGAGCATATATATATATATATATATATATATATATAAAATAGTTCTCTGCAATGTGCTCACTGTGAATTCTTATTCACAGTGAAAATTCAGGAGTGAATGTACTCGAGTAGCTTCATCTTTGGATTGAATTGAATTTATAACTATTTGTTCATCTTGGGTGAGCTAAAAGAAGTTACGAAGATGGTTACAAGTGTTGCATTCGCTGCAGGTATAGTTCAATTACACCAAGGAGAGCATTGAAGATAGTTCTACAGTATGCAGACACGGAGGTAAGCATGACAATGAAAACCTTGAGCAGCTTACGTTTCGAGAAGTTAATATTTATTTCCCTTTCTTGACCCTAGTGTGATAATTCGCGGATAGGAATTTCACATTTGATTCCTAGTCTGTGACTTGAATGGAATGGAAAATGAATACCTACCGAACTTTCAATGGGCTATTCTGGCGTGATTTCCTGAAAAGTTGTGATGTATGCTTACCTTGCATAGATCAGTTAGCAAGAACACAGCAAGATCTCTCAACGTCAGCTTGAATGTCAATAACAACTAAGGTAGAGAAAGAAATCTCATGGAAGTTGTCTTCATTGGATGTATTTAAGGATGATATTGTCTTTGAGACTGACTACCCGCTGGATCATGATCGCCAGGTCTTTCAACCCATGCAGGAGCGGGTGGTAGCCCTTGCATTTGAGGAAATTGCAAAACTTGTCGTCACAGAATCTGTAAGTAGGATAACAAAGATCGATACTCTATCTCTGAAAACGATTTTGCCACGCAGTTGAGATATTGCCACGCAGTTGAGATTGAGTCTTATCTGTAAGATAAGACCGACACAATGTGTCGGTCTTATCTTACATGGCTCGTGGTAGGTGCATACCTATATCAGAAAACGCAGACAGTCTCTTCCAATTGGAGATTTAATTCCAGTTGAATGGCGATGAAATGTCCACCTGCATCAAATAGTTTCAACAACTGACATTTTAGTAACTAGGATCTCAATCGTAGCAATCTTAATTTAACCGGTAATAATACTGATCTAGAATGCTGAATTCTCACAAATCTTGTTGTTGTATGTTGTTTTGTAGCTTCAGTAATATTTGTATCTCATAACTCTGTAATTGTAGAAATGACAGAGGACGAGTAAGTAATTTATGGGTTTTATTGAACATGGAATTCTTTTTGTAGGGATGGCGAGTTGTTGCGCCTCAGTTGCCAAGTTTGTTCGAACGAGCTATTTTTCCTGCGCTCCGTTTCAAAGAACAAGTAAGGTTCCAAAGTTATATCAGGTTGAGAAGAGTGACGGCATCTCAATTTGGATATATTCATTGAGATTCAATCATAACTTTATTGGCGGAATTCTCCATGAATCGAGCAGTAATACCCATGATGGCCAAGTGGTAACTCTGTGGACCAAACCGCTGCACTATGTTCTGTTGTACAGAGTAGAAACAAGGAATGATGCTGTGGATTCTATTGCAGGATAGGTTGGACTGGGAGGAGGATGAGGAAGATTACTTACAGAAAAATTTACCAATGACTCTGGTAAGTTCGTTTCAGTCTATACATATTACAGATATAAAAAACTTTAAAACTATCTTGCTATAGAGATGAATCGCACTTTTAGTGTTCTGCATCCTTTTCTTGAAAGATAAACCCAAAAACGATTTCATCAGGTTCAGGGCTGATAAGGATTTCTGTTCAGGAACATATTGGTGAAGACGATGGTCTTACACCTCGCCAAAGTGCTGTCAATCTTCTGGGAATGATCGCCATGTCTAAGGTCAGGTTCAACCCATTTTTGAACTGTGATCATTCCAATTTGCCTGTCATACACCGAAGACCATACATCTTGCGCTATGACTAAGATGTAGATGATGTGGTATTGGTACAGTGCACTCCCCACTAACAGAATACGACGGGAGAATTTCTTGTCATTGTCCAGTATTTATGGGATTCAGTTGCCATAAATGCTATGCCATTCTTCTATTACGTTTTTTTATCGCTTGTCAGTTACGATGCATCGGTTCACCTATACGGCTGTATCTCCCGGGTCTGTACTCTGTGGTCATCTTGCTTGTTGAGCCCTTGTGATTGATCACGTGTACTTACTTTTTTTGGAGTCAGTTGTAGGTTGTAAATGTCTACGACCAGTTGTATGAAGCGTCTGAAGAATACTAGCTCCTTGATCTAATTGATAATAGAAAATAGAAAACTTTCTCATGTAGCTAGTGCTGAAAGCTCTTTTGCCTTTCTTGTTTATCTTCCTTTATCTTATAGAGACAGTCGGGCACGCGAAAGTTAAAGGATCGAGTTCAAGAAGGAACGATTGGTGACACTTTGATCTTTCCAGTTCTTCTCAACTTTCCCTTCCCTGAGAATTTTTTTGTCCCGACCTCTGAAGCGGCCAGCAAGTAAGGCTGACCTTTTGTCCCTCTTATTTCTTCTCGGACTATTCATTTTATTGTCATTGAGTTCTTGCTAATCTTTCACAATATTCTCCAAGCAAGAGGGTGATCAGTGTGATAACTATGTAGAGCTGTATATTCCCTAAAGACAAAACCTGTATATTTGTTATATCCTTGAAGATTGCTCCCATGCAGTTTCGTTCTTGTTTCTACCGCAATGTGCTTGCTAAGAAACAAACATTTTTGCTGCTGGTAATCCTGTCCTTGCTCTTAAAGTTGAATGACGAAAAACTGGCACTTGGGGCAAAGGTGAAAGTCTGACAATTTGTTGTCTTCATTGAACAGCTACTTTGGTACTTTAGTGGCTTATGGAGGTCTTCGACAGGTTCGTATACTTATTGACAACCTCCAACAAAATAATTGCTTGTAAGGCGAAATCGTGTTCCATCAGATTAGGTAGATCTGTGTCCTCTCCAGCTATCAGTCACAGTTGGCACCCATCTTGTTTTCATCGTTAGTTTTCTTGGTGGACGAGATTCGTTGAGCTGGATGCGAGACAGATATGATTGTACTAATTGATAGATTTCAAGACTTTAACTCAGCTGTTCCTCTGTCTCAGCAGTTTCTTAAAATGCAAAGTCCGGACTTCGTTACGATGATTATCCACACGAGAGTGATGCCCATATTCTCGATGACGACATCCTCTCCTTACATCGTTGCGACTGCTTGCTGGTTGATAGGAACCTTAGCTACTTGTATGCCAAAGGTATCTTCCTTCCCATTTGTGAGTCACCTTGTGCAGTTCTTCAACATAAGCTTTCGAAGCCTATTTGTTTGTTTTGCTTGTAAACGACAACAGTAAATGTGTCATATCAGCAGTTCAGCCTTGGCACACCTTTTAGGATCATCTAGCGAATCATGCTCGTGCCGAAATGGGTTTTGAATGTGAATCAAAATGCAAACTGAAGGCCAGCAGAATTTTTAACTGCTCCTGTGCATAGATTTGCAGTCACGACGTCTACTTGCAGAATATTAGACAGTTTCAGCCAAGGTTCTACTCTTTTGAAACAATCATGATGCCATAATTCATGCTTCATCTGTCCACGCTACTTGCAGATGCTAAATAAAGAAGTTTACAGTGGCCTAATGAAGGCCTTGCTTACACCCGACCAAGGAGAAGTTTCTTGGCGTCCGGTGCGAACTACAGCAGCTCGAGCGATGGTCATTCTCTTGCAGGTACATTCTGCTGTGACGTTAGAGCCTTCTGCACGACCGTCACCTTGACTAAGCTTATACACACTACACACCCATTCCCAATATAATTTTTTAGCTCCAAGACTCTCATATTGGCATGTACATCGTCTATCATATATTATAACAGGTTGCAAAACATGTTAACCACATAGATTTCATGTCTTCTTGCCCAAGAGCTTGGTAAACTATCTTCAGGAAATATCTTGACAAGCTTGTAAATGTTTCAATATGGCAGGAAATGTACATGCCTCTGAGTTGGATGCCACTTCTGAATGGAGCTGTGGCAGGGGCCAGGATTCTTGATGTTCAAGGAGCTATATTGTGCTTTCAGCTTCTGTCTGCATTCATTGAGGCTGGTGGTCCCAGTATTGCTCACTACGTTCCGAGCATAACATCTGGTGTTCAGCAAGAAATTTCCAAGCATTTAATTCCCTGCGATGGAAGTTGGCCCCAGGTAGTGTGACCCGACTGCTCAAAGCTCCCCTTAATTCCTATGAAGAAGAAAACAAATATTCGGATCTCTGTTGTTTATCCCCTTCATGTTAACTTCATACTAGCAACACTCCAAGTACATCCATGAATCTAGGCAATAGGTTGTACATGACAACGGGCGTATATAGTTCTTTTCATTACTTTCGCAGTTATGTTCTGAACAACAGCTGTTCAATGTGTTGGATGGAGTGAAGGTCGTGGATGAAGGGTTCTGCGTCATGGCATCCTTAGTGCAGATATGGGATGCGTCGGAACCCCAGAAACCAGATGGAGGTCAGGTGTGGCAAAAGTGGAAAGCGGGATCTGCATTGGTCGCTGGCTCGTTGTCTCTGCTCTTGGAGCGCGCCTGGCTGCAGGTACTTTTTCAGACTTCATAGTTCAACTTTTTCAGACTTTATGTTCTCTTTGCAGTTTTCACACTGCTGTTCAAACATATTGCTCACACCGGTGTGAGCCTCCGGTGAGCTTACAACTTATACTTCCTTTATTGGTCATCTCACCTTCTTTAGGGCCTCAGCTGATTTCTAATGATCGATTCTGGCTAACCAGATCGACATGGCATGCTAGTGAAGATCAATTTCTTTCAGTTGGAAAACATTGCTGAAGAATTACGTGATTCGTCTGGAATATAGCAAGGTTGGAGAGTGTTGACAGCCGTCTGCACAAATGATGATGACAAATACCGACCGCTGTTCTTTCTCCGAGCATAGTTTCGATAGAACTTGCTTCCAACTTGAGTTGCTCAAAAGAATACAGAATCTTTCGCATAGTCATGAAGAAAAAGCCTGAGCGAAAAGATGTTGAGCTCCAGTGCATGACAGTTTATATCGAAGATAGGTAAATCTTAATGGCAGGTTTTAAATCCACTTTATTTTTCTGATCACAAAATTGGATCTTGTGCAGAGTGGAGAATCAAAAAGCTCCTCTCCTCCTCCTACGTGTCTCAATGATTTATCAGTACTTCTGGCGGCAGTCTTGAAGTTTATTGATAACCCAAAAACAGTGGAAACATTAAAGGTGGAGGCCTTATTGCAAGCGTGGGCTGAGTTAGTGGCTCCTTGGAAAGCTTGGGAAGATAAGCAAGACATGGCAGTTTTCGAAGTCATTGACGAAGCTCTCAGTTTGCAGGTCTTCCACCCCCAACCATCTCTTTTTAGTCCTTATTATCTCAACTCCAGCTAGAAGGTCGAAGAGAAGAGGTCTATCTTTTGTTTAGAATCCACGCTGAACGTACTCTATAGCTCAGTACATATAAAGTATCTTGCTGATTCTTCTGTCTATGTCCTTTACACTTTGCAGGCGAGGTGTCCTTTCTTCCACTTTGGAAATGCTTCACCTAGAATTCCACAATCAACGGATTTGCGAACCATTGTTACAATCCAAGGATTTGTCACATTTCTAAGCTTATGTATGGAATCTGGTTGCGTTGCCGCCTCCTCTCGGGCCTGCAGACGAGCGCATTCTCTTCTGCATGTTTGTGTATCCTCACAGGATATTTTAGAAAATACAATTAACTGCTTCACAAACTCTGCAATCAGAAGACTCAGGCAGTTGAAGAGGTCACTCAGTATGCCCCTCGTGAAGTCACTTCTGCTGGTCATAGCAACATGCTATGTGTTACTGCCGTCTTCTGTCGAGCAGGTTCTGACAGAGAACATGGTATCAAGAAGTTCCAGCAATAAGAATGGATTCATACGATGGGGGGAAGCTTTTGCAGCCCTCGCTGAGCGCGGACGCAGTCCAGGTCTATGCAAGCGTACCGAGCTGAAACTAGCTGGTATGTTATAGACTTTTTCGAAAAGCGATTACTATAAGAACGAGTCGGCGTTTTCCATCTAACCAAAGTTTTCTTCGGTCCGAGAAATATATTATGTAATCAGGCTGAGATTTTGAGAGCTAAAGGAAAAACCTGAATCCTCACTTAGGAACGCCAAAAATTAACCGATCAATTAGGTGGAAATATCAGAAAGTGCAGCCGGCATTTACAGGCACTGCAATCTACATATTAAGCAGTCTTTCATAGGGAACCGAAGCTTTCTGCAGTCTTAGCCGTAGCACAGTTCTCAGTAGTTGCTATACGACGAGCTGTCTTCTCACCAGTCTTATCTCTGGTTGCAGTTATCACGTTTGTGAGATTGGTCAGTCGTCTGAGTGAAACTGAAGAACAGTACGGATCAGCCGGTACTACTCTTGCCTGCAGTTGTCTACTCTCTATTCTGGAAACAGTATCAAGGATGAAGCAACTCGAAGTCAAAACTCATGAAGAATACGAGGTAAGGACTTTTTCAATGTTGATGATCTTAACGACACATATACATTGAGTTAATATAGTCTACGTTGGGTTGAGCACGTAGCTCATACATCTGTCGTTGTTTTTGTATTGTCCTACAAAAGGAATGTGGAGACCATGGCATGGATGAAGAGACGTGGGTTGGAAGATCAGAGCAGTATCGTCAGTACAGGAGGGAGCAGCTGTCGAAAGAATTGCAGAAGGAGGTGGAGTGGAGTTCGGAGGATGAGCATGAACTTGAATTGGGTTTGACATTCACCTCTTCGATATATAGTATCTCATTTGGTTCGAGCTTTCTCTATCTGGATTTCGTTCACCCTGTCCATGTAATTCAAAAGATTCGACACAGTGCAAAGGCTAGGTCTTCCTCACAGAGGACGATAGTCGTAACATATTGGAAACCAGTCAGGGAGTTACGATAATGTCATGCATTTTTTTTAACTTCGGATTTTCTTCTTGGCAGGATTACTAAACCTTGTAAATGAAGAAGGCGCCGTATATTCTTGCCTGAAGAGGTATGCAACCAAATACCTGATGAAAGATTCAATACCACAAGTGGTTTGTGACTTTGTAGAGAGCTTCCCCGACTACGGTAGCGCCTTGAGCATACCACCAGTTTTGTAGGTTAGTATGTACATTTGGACTTTACAACAGATATACATCGAAGGAAAAGTGCTTCGTTCAATGAATTTAATAGGGTCAGAGGAGCTACACAGGAGGAGTGGAGCTCCAGCCCTGTCTTTGAATCTGGTGTGGGCGCCAACACCTGAAAGCCTTCATGCTTTTTCAAATGCCACACAAATTTCGACGTTAGCTGTAAATATCCAGGTTGGATAGAAGTATCCCAGTTTCCTTCCTTTACTCCAGTGTGGAGTGAAAATAGTAAATTTCAAGCATTGAAACTCGAGTAGGACTAAGTTAAGATGCTGCCTGGGTTGTGGTATTATGTATAAAGAGCAGTGCAGATTCATTGTGGGGCTTGCCTTCTTGAGTTGTTGGTAACCACAAATCTTACATTTGCATGTATAGATCGATGTCTTCTATCAAGAGAAGACTGCATTACAAACAGTTATCATTAGAGACTAGTTATCATTACAAACACCATCCCGTACAGCACAATAGTCGCTGTATTACAGTACTTGAGTAGACAATGTAGGAAAACAAGTGCGGAAGCCGAAGATCTGTCATTATGAGATATGCTTATGGATTTCGATTGTCCCATATAATGTATCGTATCCATAAAGACGGACTCAAAAATAATTAAGTAGGGAAAAGTCTTTCCTATTTCTCATATTCAAAAAGCACATCAATTCACGATAGGATGTTGTCTCATGATGAGGCAGTCAACTGGTCATTGCCTAAATCCAGCAGCGGATGCATCTTCCTAGTACGGCTACAGTATAGTATAATGATCAAGGTGTATAAACTGCCATTTGCCTAACACGGTTGGGTGATCTTTCATGTCCAGCTCTACGTGACCATGTGTGTATACCTTCAAAAGCTTCTGAGATCTGCGTTTGATTGTTGATAAAGCTCGCAGACTTAGCGCACATACTCAAAAGTACGGAGATAACAAATTGGAAATGGGAGGGAAACGGTAACCAATTGACCAAATGTGGCCCCGATAAATTCATGACCATCATCATGAACTCTCACACAGCTACCATGTCGTGGGACATAATGAAGTAGGAAAGAACTTCTGGACTTGCGCTTGTGACAATGCCGTATCGACGCCACCGATGTGCTAAAGGCCGCTATGAAGTCCACAGAATGTACTCATGAGTGCGTTCCCATGCAGTGAAAGGTATGTAACGTTGTGGGTGTCCCGAAAACCAAGCCGTTGGCATCATATCCAGGCAAGGTTATTTTAGGCTATCTTATATCAACAAATTACCTAAAGTGGCGTTCCCCTAGCGTCTACACTAATTGGAGCATGATATATCTGAACTGCGAGTCAGGTTGTTACCATGTCAGGTTCATAGTTCAAAGAGATGTAATCCCAAGTTTGTAGAGTCTCGTGTCTTTAGCACACGAGGCTCGCAGCCCAACTGCAAGCCCCGATGAGGGCGACTCTCTTCCGAACCCCTCTCTCTTTCAAGTGCAGTCACCTCTCTCTCTCTCTCTCTCTCAAGTGCACTCACTCCCACTTTTAGTACCAAAGCCTCCGAATTAACTTTCTTGATGCTACTGAATTAAGCTAATTAAGGTGACTGACTAATATAACCATGTCTGATCATATCCCATTCATTTCATGCTCATTACAAAGGCAACGATTAAACATACTCACCCCAGCGACCTTTATGTTCTGCCACCCAAACGGATTTTCTTGTTCGGCAATGTGATCCCCTGCAATGATGACATTTCTAGGGTCAATTGCAATGTTATATATTCCAATCCATAAAACTCTTTTAGCACATAATTTGATAAATATAAATATCGTCAATTTAGCACCTTTCAATTTACATCTAATGGTTTATGGTAAAGAACTTCATTTTACAGTTGATAGTTATATTTGTGAATTTTGATATCAAGACAAATTGTAAGATGAATTATTCCATTTAATAATTGAGTTTTTGAAAGTGAATCACAACTTATATGATAATATGTAGATATATTAATCGTTATCTAAGATATTATTATAATTGATTCTAGGCGATAAACATAAGTTTTTCAAACTTTTAGTACTAACGTAAGTTAATTTAACTCGAGTTAAGATCACATTTGTTAGGATTAGATTTAGGATTTGCTATCATATGTATAAGATGTTGAGTTTCTTACTGTTATGTATGTAGTTCAAAAAAGCTGAAATTGTAAGAATTTGTAGCACTGAGCGAGAAGATGAAATGCATGACTATACTAGACGAGGAAGCGAGGAGCCGGACTGACGAGGACTACTTAATCTTTGACAAAGATTGAATTTTGGTGGTTTGATCCGAAAGTACTGTCGATGGAAGTCATGCCAACGTACTTCGCGTCGGAGCAGAGTTCCGAATAATATTATCTGATATTATATTGGCTTTTCCAAAAATACAATAAAATATATTTGTATTGCGTTTCAACACAATACAATATATTGGTTTTGTCAATCAAACAATACAATATATTGCAATATCTAATATAAAAAATTAGACATATTGAGATCATCTATTCTACTTCGCTTTCTGCGTGGCTCGGGTCATCTTCCTCACAATCGGTATTAACCACAGTTGAGACCAAGGCCATATTTCAAAGGTTGCGGTTCTGTTTGAGGAATAGTAACGCATCTAGAGTACGGGGCAGCAGTCGTCGACGTTTGTCCGAAAAGATTTTGCTTGCTCATAGAGAATAGCCACTTGACATGGTTTGATGTAGGCACTAGAAATGTGGTATCAATGTAGGCAGATCGGTTGGATTGCTTCATTTGCTATCGCTTGAGTGCGTGTTCTGCAAAAGAAAGTCTAGTATCATCATATTATTCTTGCACATCGGTATTTGGCATCTTCAGGCATAGAACAACCTCCTTTTCATTATCTAGCATTTCGCGCTTCCTTCCCGATTGAATCTTTATGATGGCATCTTCAAATGTGGAATTGTGAACAATGGCGCGTCAGTTGAAAGATATGAATCAAAACGGAAATTTGGAAAACTATTAATGAGAGATTGGAATAAAGTTTGAGATACCCAAATAGTGACATTCTCTCTTTGCAACGATTCGGTCACTGATTTGAAATAAGATAATGTGCCAGTATGGTGACGAATGACGTTTTGTTGGCCAGCAGTTTGAAGGAGTTCCGCTACATTGGTATTGGTGTCGTCAATGAGAGGTCGCAGTCTTTCGTAGCGATCAAGCATTTTGATCACTCCGAGCCAACGAGATCATTGCGTTTAACAGAACGCAATGATCTAGTCATGCGCAATCTACCCGCCTCTTTCAGCGTTGAAAGCTTGGACATCAGATTGTTCACCAAATCAACCTCGCTTTTCTAAATATCGATCAATGTAAGCGTTAGCTACCAAGTTCAGACGATGGCTGCGACAACCTAACAATGAAAATCCGAGTAGGTCTACTGTTGCACAATTCGTACTGCAGTTGCCACCAATCAAACAAATGAGATTACTAACAGGCAGATGATACCAATCTAGTGTTGCTAGAATAAAATCCCGATGATTTGCTGCAGTGAATGTAATTTCGTCCAGGAATGGCGCAAATGCCAACATATGGATGTCAAAAGAGGATGATGCCATATCTTGAGCAAGAAAAGTGATGAATAAACCAACAAAATAAGTGAAATCAACCGTCCAGCCATCAAAGACCAAGGCATAGCGTGACGCAGCTAAAGCCAATGTTGTGATCTTTTTTTTCAACACCATTCACCAGCATATACATATACTTCTTCAGAGTTTTGGAGCAGATCTTTGGCAAATTCGTGTTTTCTCTGGTACGATCTTTTTCGCAGAACCTTAGCTCGTACTCATCCATGACTATCCAATCCAGCCATTTGTATATATCGCGCGACTTCAAATCAATCATATATTCAAGCGTGGTTTGCTCAACTTCATTGTTGGAAAAATGTGATCTGCTTGAGGATGATTCCAGAGAATGCGCCGCATAGATGTGGATGCTTGCTCTTTACGTGGGTCATAAGGTGATTGTACCCATTTTTAATGACATCATATTTCCGTTCTACTCCACATTTACACTTCCAGATGTTCTCAGAAGAAGTAACCTTGTCGTAGAAGAGTAGACATATTGCCTTGGACAACGGGGGAACGGTTGATCAAGTGATCTTGCTGCTCATGATTGGTATCCGTCTTATTCTCAAAACCTCCTCATCACTTCTTCGGCAGCAACCCCTTCGACGCCCTTGGGAGAAATAAATAATATATAGGACTGTACGACGATACATGTCACAAGTAGTAAGCGTGGCAGTTCCCGGTAATTTTTATACATTTGCTGGAAAACACTACATGAACAATGACGTATGAATGATCTCTATACATGTGATTATTAAGTACAAGCACGACACCGCCCATATACAAAAAAAAGAGAACAAAAAATGACAAAAAAACAGAGGAAAATCTCGGCATGATTCTTTAGATCACTCGAGGCTTCAGTAGAGCACTGCACATTTAAGAAATATAGCTGGCCCCATAACTTAGATTGGGATATTATCATCAAATCACGGATCAAGACGGTTATGGAAGCAGTCGATTGTTATTCAAACAACATTGTACGAGTCCTGAGAAGTCTAGAGTCAGTTCTTTACCTTACTGAAGATCCATCCACAACTTCGTCAAGCTGAGAATGTCATAACAGCAACAGGCTCACTTTGTCTCGCTGACAAAAAGCAAACGAGAATATCAGGGTAGTAATACATTTGGTATAGTACTGAATCTTTCTTCATTTGTTTCGAGCACTATACAGGTAGAAGAGGAGAGAACCAACCTGGTTAGGATCAAGCTCTCAATCTAGCAGTGATGTTGTATTATCTATGGCTCCTTGTTGTATATCGAGCCCAATCACGTAGCCTGCAGTTGCTTCTTGAAGCACAAGCTTTGCCAACATAAGCGTATTATGACCGTTGCCGCAAGTGGCATCGATGACCGTATCTCCAGGCCTGACTACAGTCCTTCAAACTCTGCAGCAAGTTCATACATCAAAAAATATTGACCTTGAACCTCAAAAGCTAATGAGCATAAAAAATGAACTATGCGAGCACAAAAAACGTTGTACACTGCAAAACTTTGAGAATGCCCACACAACCCTCATTCAATTTTTCTGCCTGAAAGCTAGTATGTCAAGCACATGAGTCCAGTACATCTATGCATCTGAAAGGCGTGACTTACTTGTGAGCTATGGAAGTGGTTTTGGAACCATCCAAGATGAAATCGGTTAAAGCGGCTTCAACTCTTTCCTCAGTGTTCAAGCCTGCATCATGCTCAACGAGCTGCAATGGACAACTTATACTTCTCAATTGCGGCTTCTTCTACATTCTTGGGAAACATACAAGCTTCTAAATAACCAAAAAGTCAATCGCAAGCTCTGGGAATGAAGCATTTCCTCAAATAGATGCACATAAAAAGGTAATTGCTACTTTGAAGTTAAGCTTGCAAGTTAGATTAAAATTTTGGAACATTCTCTAGACGGCTCGGGACTCAAGAAACAACAAAATTTACTCCTGATATATGTGGATAATGTGAAAACATTGATGGTAATTCATCGGGCCACAAAATCATGCGATACAAACGGAGACCAAGGGCCAGGAATGCATGACATGACACCACCCCGACTCCCTCACGTTTTGGTGAAGAAGCCTGTCTGCCCTTGTGCGTAGTAAGATTTG